GACCCTCCCCACTCCGATGGTCCATGAAAACAAGTGTGTTGAGGAACTTTCTAGTTGGTTTTCTCAGCTGAGGCCACATCTGAGGCTTTTGACTTCCGTCGGGGGCTTGGAGAGCTGTAGTGCTCTTAGGAGAAATCTGAGACTCACTGCCTTCTCCCCTTCTATGTGATCTGACAGGTCATCTCAGTGGTAAACTCAGCCTGAAACATTTCTGACCAATCTCCGTGGGCTTGTCCCAAGGGATCTGGGCTGGTGCTCGACTGATATGGGCTCCAGGCTTAGTGACAGGGAGCAGGGAGCCCACACTTGTTGACTGCAGGTTGCTGGAACATGGTGCTATCATACTACATACAGGCGCCTTGTCATTTCTGGTGACTTCCCTACAAGGCAAGCAGTATGACCCCATTTTACTGGTGAAAAAGCTCACATATAGAGATCCTGCCTAAGGCAACACAGTCAGTCACTGGAAAAGCCAGGCTCATCTCTCTGACTCCAGAGCTTGTGAATCTTAACACATCCAGCCAGTCCCCAAACGTCACATGAAATGAAGGATCTGGGGACCTTTGCCTAAAGAAGGTGGTGGTGTTTGCTGAGCTACAGGTGTCAGAAGTGTTGTCATGTACAAGAAAAGACAGGTTTGTTCTCCACTCTGACCCACAGCAGAATAAGGAGGCCCGGAAGATTTTGGAACCAATCTGAGAACATCTCCAGGAAACTGTTTCTCTCAGGGCAAGTCAGCATGGAAGTGATTGCCATGGAGAGCCTACAGGGCCTGAAGATGCTGTGACTCCTGCCCTGTGCCCCTGGCTTCTGGTGGAGGTGGAGTCCCTGGCTGTAGAGGGACGGGCTGGGTGACCCAGGGAGCTGTGAGCTGTGGTCATGGGATGCCAGAAATTCCCGCTAGGTCTCAGGGAGCCCTGCACAAAGACTGTTTTCTCCCTCTCTTATCTAAGGAGGCCCCTGGGAGGGCCTTTAGGGTAGGGGCAGGGAGACAGCAGCCATGTGAGGCTGGAGGGCTCAGAGGTAGCCAGCCTGGCTTTTCACCTGGCTCCAGCACTTCCTAGCTGGGTGTCCTTGGGCAATGTACTTAATCTCTGCATGCTTCATCTTCCTCCTCTATAAGATGGAGAGAATAGTACTCAACTCATATAGCTATTGCGAGAAATAAATGAGAGCACTTAAGTCAGCAGCACTCAACACACTACTTAAAGGAGCTCCGTGAACAACAGAACTTGACCCCACACAGAGATTGCTAAGATCCACATGCCTGCAGACTCCCACTTTTAACTTAGAGGATAGCCCTGGGGAGAAGAGGCCCCTGGGAACTCCCGTGGGTACTAAGCTGCCTGCTGATTCAGGTTTAAAGCCTTGGAGTCACCTTCCCTCCTGCTCTCACCTCACCCAGTCGGCTGTAGACATGGGACACTGGAGTGTGATGTGAACCAGGCGGCAGCATCCTTGGCCCCAGCTCTGCTTCTTGCTAGCCATGTGACTTTGGGCATCAGTCTTTTCTGAGCCTCAATTTCCTCCTGTGTATAGTGAGCCGAGGAGCACTTGTGCTGTCTTACCCACATGGCTATGGGAGGGTCAAACATGGAAGTACTTTATAAACGTGAGAGTGCATGTTCACCTAGAGGGACTGTCTTGAGCCAGCAGCCTCCCCTTTCCCTTCTCCTCTGGAGAACTGGGATGGAAGCACATCCCCATTGCCAAGTCCTTAGGAGATTCCATTGTGTGGGCTCTTTCCAGGGCCCAGCATGAACTCTCCTTGTCCTATCCTGGTTTGGGGAACCCCAGACTCTGCCCACTCCTCATAACAGGGCTCAAGGCATGGGAAGGGCCTGCAGAAATCTTGCTGAAGGTCAAGGACCTTGGTGTCTGTCAGCCTGGAGGTGGGGTGGGCAGGTCCAGGCAGCCTCTTTGAAAGCCCTTGTTGGGGGCAGGGTGACCAGAGCTCCCAGTAGACAGAGCAGGAATTCTAGACAGCAGTTAGAGGAAACATACACACATTTCCTTTGAGAAGTCCTACAGTCCTTGCTATTCCAAACTGCCCATTGGGCTGGACCCTTGAGACTGGACCTGGAAGCTTCTAGATGCCATTGAGACAGCACCCCACCCTCCCCACCCTTCCTGCTCTGTTGCTGGCATCCTGCCTCCACTCTTTGGTCCCACTTTTCTCTAACCACAAGCACCACCACTATTCAAATCCTAAGGTCTAATGTACCTGCCATCTTCGAGCCCAGCCTGGTCACCCTTCCTTGAACTTTTGCAGCCTTTTTGATAACTAGATTCAAATCTGGGCTCAGCTAATTATGAACTTGTGTCCTTAGGCAAGTATTTTTAACTTCTCTGGGCCTTGATTTACTTTAATAATATCTAATATTCATTGAATACTGTGTGGAGTACAGATATTATCTCAGTCATCTTGATGCAATTGTGGAAGATATAAACTAATATTATTATCAACTTGATATGAAATTTAGTAATTTGCTTTTGGCCATACAGCTGTTACATGAGATTGAGCCTGGGACTTGAAACAAAGACTAAGTGAGTCTAAAGATTAGGTAGTGGGAACTAAAATGTTACCAAGTGTTAATATAACTGCTTCCTTATTTGGGTCCTTTTAAATTTAAAAAAAATTTTTTTTTAACAGGACAGCGTGTCGCTATGTGGTCAAGGCTGATCAGGCTGGTCTTGAATTCCTGGGATCAAGCAATCCTCCCTCCTTGCTCCCCCAAAATGCTAGGATTATAAGTGTGAGTCACCAGGTCCAGCCTCTTTTCTTTTTTTAATTGAGGTGAAATTCACATAACATCGCATGAACTACTTAAATTAGCCACTTAAAGTATACGACTCACTAGCATTTCGTACATTCACAGTGTTATATAACTGTCACCCGTATCTCATTCCAAAATACTTGTGTCACCCCCAAGGAGTGCCCATACCCAGTAAGCAGTCACTCCCCACTTTAATTCTCACACTATTTGAGGAAAGATCCATTATTTCCATTTTCAAGATTAGGAAAATATAGTACAGGGAAGTCATACAGATTAATAGATGTTAAAGCTCTACTTTCTTTTTTTAGGGCCTCAGCTGAGCTCTGTCTGTTAAATTCCGTGTCGAAGACTCTAGGCTATGGTGCCCCTTCATTTATAATTCAGAATACTGGGCTTGGAATTTATTCAATCATTGCTAACTTTGTATTTGTTACAGCGTGGTACCTTTGATGAGTTTTGGGAAATGCCCTAGTATCGTTACATAAGTTAGGTGAATAACAATTTGAAACTTGATTTCGGAATTCTACACATGAAATTTTGGAAATTAGAGCTGTAACAAGAGAGGTTTGTTTTAATTCCAGAAAACATTAAGTCTCTAATGATCCAATTAATATGATCTGGAATTTTCCAGCAAGCTTTTGTGGGGCAGTCCTGATAAGTTTACACTTTAACAGACCTCCCTTATATGGAGCCATGATAGCCATGCCTCCTCCTTTGGGAGTTCTTCAGGGGCACGATGGACCAGGTGACATGATAGAGAGTGGCATTTCCACAGTTCACAAGGATTTCCATACATCACTATATATAAACTTCTGTCTCTTGGCAAGAATATTCCTAATTTCAGGCACATAATGTTCTTTGGTTTTGAATAGCTTTATTGAGATAAAATCCACACACTATACAGTTCACCCATTTAAAGTATATAATTCACTGGTTTTTGGCATATTACACTATTAATTTTAAAAATTGTGATTCAAATATATGTAACATAGCCAGCTGTGGTGGCTCACACTTGTAATCCCAGCACTTTGGGAGGCTGAGGCAAGAGGATTGTCTGATCCCAGGGGTTTGAGACCAGCTCAGGCAACTTGGCGAGACCTCTTCTCTACAATAAATCAAAAATTAGCCGGCCTGGTGGCACGTGCCTGTAGTTCCAGCTACTTGGAGGACTGAAGTGGAAGGACCGCCTGAACCCAGCAGGTTGAGGCTGTGGTGGCCATGAGCATGCCACTGCACTCCAACCTGGGTTACAGAGTGAGACTTCAACAACAATAACAGCAACAAAAAATACACACACACATATATATAAAACATAACATTTGCCATTTTAACCATTAAAAAAAAAGAGAGACTGGGGTATCACTATGTTCCCAGGCTGGTTTTGAACTTCTGGACTCAAGCTGTTCTCCAACCTGAGTAGCTGGGATTATAGGCACACATCACCATGTCTTGCTGATTTTAATTGTTTTAAAGCTTACTACTCAATGGCCTTAATTATATTCACCCTGTTGTGCAACCATCACCACTATCTATTTCCAAAACTTTTTCATCACCCCAACAGAAACTCTCTAACTATTAAGCAATAACTCCCCCTTCTCCCAGCCCCTGGTGACCCCTCCCCTCTACTTTCCATCTCTATGAATTTGACTACCCTAGGTACCTCATATAAGTGGAACCATACAGTATTTGTCCTTTTGTGCCAGCCTTCTTTCAGTTGCACACTGTCCTCAGAGTTCATCCATGTTGTAGCATGTATCAGAATTTCATTCCTTTTTAGGGCTGCATAATATTCCACTATATGTATACCGCATTTTGTTTACCCATTCATTCACTGATGGACATTTAGCTACTGTGCATAGTGCTGCTATGAACATTAATGTAAAGTTATTTGTTTGAATGCCTGCTTTTAATTCTTTCAACACTATGTAGTAGCAAAATGGCTGGGTTAAACAGCAGTCCTAAGTTTAACTTGTTGGAGAACCTGGGCCTTGTTTTTAGGGTGCTTTCCTCCATGTGGTTGTGATATCCCTGGTGGGCCCGAGGGCCCGATAGCCCCTGGTCCAGGGCTGGGCATGGGGGCGGGGCCTGGCTGAGCCCAGATACAGTGGGTGATGGAGAGCCACTCCTCACCACCACGTGTTCGAAGTCTTCCTGGCCCATCGTCCTTCTTCTCTGCCTGTTTGGCCCTCAGCCCCTCTAACCTGTCTCCTCTGTCCCCAACAGATGTGCCCGTGGAGAAGCTGGCTGCCATGCCCGCCCTGCGCTGCATCAACCTGCGCTTCAACCCGCTCAACGCCGAGGTGCGCGTGATCGCCCCGCCTCTCATCAAGTTTGACATGCTCATGTCTCCGGAGGGTGCGCAGGCCCCGCCACCTTAGGCCACCCTCCTCGTGCCCACCCAGCAAGGGACAGAGGCCACTGGCCTGGCCCCCTGAGGGGAGGGAGGCCCATGGGCGGCCAAGCTTGGGGGTTGGGGGCGGGTGGGCCGAAAAGTGTGCTGTGGGCGGGGGTGCAGCCGGTCCCGGATAGATAGCTTACAGCAGTAGTGGGCTCTGGAATGCCCAAAGGAGGAGGTGAGGTTGGGGCTGCAGCCTGGTTTCTGGGCACTCACAGCTACCGTGTAAACTTGGGCAGATCTCCTGCCCTCTCTGAGCCTTGTCGCTTGGAAAAAGGGGTGATGGCCGGGAGCCTGTGCCTCTGTTGGGCTCCTTGGAGGTTTTTAAGGCAGCACATGCCTCCAGGCACCTTCTGAGTCCACAGATGAGCATTACTGAGCATTTTCTGGGCCCCTGTGAGTCAGAGGCCTGGTTTCTAGTGCTGAGAGCCAGTTGCTGTCCTGAGAGAAGACAGCCTCCCATCTGTTTATTGCTTCCTGAGAACGGACCCAGATGAGGCCCTCCCCAGGGCTCCATCCTCAGCCCCGTGGGTTCCTGGACTAGTGAGAACCTGAACTGGGGAAAGTTGCCGAGGGAGCTTGGCCTGGTGCTGCTGCAGAGCTAGAATATTCACGTAGGAGCCCAAGGACCATCGGGCTGGGACATGGGGGAAGCAAATCAGGTCAGCTCTATCCTTCCTGGTGATTAGGAAATTGGTGGAGTAGAAAATTCTCAGTGCTCTGTCCCTCCCTGGTATCACCCCAAAGCCACAGAAGAGGTGGCCCAGACAGCAGCAAAGCAATTTGCGTATGTGGCTCTGGTCTGAGGTGATTAGAAGGCCACCCTCATCACAGTCCCCCTCCTTCAGCAGCCTGGCTGCTTTGTCATGGCCTTCTGAGGGCAAAGGGACCCACCAGATTTGTAGCCAGCAGGCTCCCAGGCTATCACCCACTACCCTGATGACCTACTCATTTCAAGACCCTCAACCTGGCACCCTGGGGTGTGGCCAGGTGATAGGGTAACCAGCTATCCCAGGTTGCCTAGGATGGAGCAGTTTCCCAAGATATGAGACTTTCAGTGCTAGAACTGGGACAGTACCAGGCAAGCAGGGATGGTTGGTGCCCTACCAGGGAGGGCCTGGTTTCTTGCTTCTTGGTAACCTGGTAACTCCTGTGGCTTGAAGAAACCTGACCTCTTAACCCCCCAGGTATCTACCTCCCACCTTCTCATCTGTGGAACAAGCAGACTGAATGCCCCAGACCCCACCTGATCTGCACTTTTGTCTGGGTCTGTGGAGACATCTGATGCCCTAGGACTTGGGGCAAAGCTAGACTGCCCAAATCCTGCATTCTGCGGACCAGTGACCACCTCACCACTCCTAGGGTTAAGATGTTCAGAGCTCAGACCACCACTTAGAGCAGTAGCCCCTGCTCACAGTGCTTCCAGTTCCCTTCTCCAGCCCAGGTCTCCTGTCTCTTGGCAAGGAGCAGACAAGTTAGCCCATCCCTGAGTGCTCAGTGTTCCAAGAGAGACCCTGTTCACTCTGCTCACATCCGAAGGCCTGGTTGGTCAAACTCTGGGAAAGGAGTTTTTTGGGGTGGATCTTCAGGGCCACCAAGTTCAGCTGTGGATGCTGGGGGAAAGTGGGGGCTGAAGTCCTGTACACGCTGCGCTGGCCCCACCCACCCTGTGTCCTGGAGTGGGGTTTCTCCGTATTGAAGAAGAGGCTCACTTCTCTTCATGGACAAAGGTGGTGTACGGCCAGACCCTTGCAACTCAAAGCATGGTCTATGGACCAGCAGGCAGCAGCAGCAACAGTGTCACCCAAGAGCTTATTAGAAATGCAGTCTCAGACCTCACCCTATTCCTACCACTGTAGACTGTATTTTAGCAAGACCCCCAGCTGATTCCTACAAGCACTTTATAGCTTAAGAACCGAGGGCCTGGGGTTGACCCTGGGAGTGTCCTCGGAAGAGAGGGTGAAGGGTCTCTCAGATCTCAGTCTGGGCTCAATCCCTGCCTAATGCAGCCCTGGGAGACCTTTGGCCTCTTAGGTCTTTCCGTAGTCTGTGTGACACTCCCAAGGAAGTCAGGAGTCCTGCGGTCACCAGGATTGGGTGGAGGGGGTTGGGTGTGCCTGGCCCTCTGGACCCTGCTTTTCTGGTTAACCCCTGCATGCCAAGCTGCCTGCTTTCAGGTCCTCACCTCAGTCCCTTGAAGGGGCTGCTTCTGGAAGTTGTTTTCCACGCCGCTTGGAGAGTCTGCCCTTGCCTCTCTGGGAAAGCTTGGGCAATTGGAGAAGCCCCTAAATCAGAGCTCACAGTGTGAGTGAGCCCCTTAGCTCCAGTTTGCAATAAAGAATGCATTGGTTTCATCTGCCTGGTTGGTGTTGATCCATTCTCACTGTACAGACCTCCTGGAGCCTGGGTGTCAAACCAGCCCACATGCGAGAGGGGTGTCCTTGCTAACAAGGATGATACGCGGATTATCCACAGGTGGGTGCAGGTGCAGCCAGGCAGGATCGGTGCATGCACCACAGCTGTGTTGCTGCAGACCTGCCGAACATTAGGGAAAACTAGACCTGGGAGGAAGAGACCCACTGTCTCCACATTTCTCCCTTACTGATGTCAGGAATTACACCCTTGTCGTTCTCAAAGAGGGTCTCTGAACCAGGAGCATCAGCACCACCAGGAAGCTAGTTAGAAAAGCAAATTTTCAGTCCCTGCCTTGATCTACAGAATCTGAATCTCTGGGGTGGGGCCCAGCACTGTTTTAGCAAGCCTTCAAAGTGGTGCTGAACTCATACAGAGCTTAGCGGGTACCAGGCAGTGTCTAAGCACATTATAAATATTAACTCTTGTAATCACTGTAACTATCCTAGCTAGCTTTGTGGTTTGGACAAATCTCTTTCCCCCTCCAGGCCCTGTTTCCTGTCTACAAAACTAAGAAGCTGCACCAGGAGAGCCCAAGGGCCTTTCCAAAATTCATATGGCCTGTGTATCTCATCTCCTGAGGGCCCTGCTGTCACTTATAACTGTCCCTGTGGATTAGCCTGGATTCAGATTGTTGTCCTTCCCACCCCAGAGGCCAAAAAAAGGACTCCCGCTTGCATGGTTTCTTGTTGAATGCTAACTCACAAAAAACTGGATCCACTGTTGGTCAGACAAAGCAGAGGCTACCCTTCCCTAGGGAGGATCTCCACCTCACAGTCTTCCTAGTGTGTCAGACTGGGGAAGGTAGTCAGGAAGAGATGAGGCTTCAGTCTGGCTTTAGGAAAAGAAAACCTTGATCAGTACAGTAAGTTTCCTACATATGAACAAGTTCTGGGAGCTTGTTCCTAAGTCCAATGATGCTAGCATAGGTACCCAACTAACATAGTCGCTATATAGTGCTGTACTGTAATAGATTTATAATACTTTTCACACAAGAAACAAACACAAAAAATAAAATATTTTTAAGTTTACACTACAGCATGGGACAATGTACATTAGACACATGAACTAACGTGACTGTACGCCCACACCTTTAAAGTTCACAACTTGAAAGTTTGTATGCAGGGGACTTACTGTACTGGATAAAATGACATCGTTTAGGATTGGTGGACACAGTAAGGGAGGCTTTTGAAGCACAGGGTTCAGACAGTCTTGGGGTACAACTCTCTTTAGATGCTATTAAGAGTTAAGCAGTTTGATGTTGCATTAAATGATTCTTTCAGAAAGCTCCTGGAATGAACGATAAAATTTTTTACAACTTTTACTTCCTGGGCAAGAGTTTCCTGGAATAGACAGTGGAGGAATGAAGTTGATGTAGACAGTAAGTTGTGTGGGGCTAGAGGATTTTGATTATGTTTCCCCAAAATACCAGAATAGCAGTGCCAGAGCCCTGCTTTGGTGCTATGTTTCACATGAAATGTGCCTGCCCCTTCGAGGAGCATTGGTGGCTGCCCCAGAAGGCCTCAGCAGAGCCCTGGGCAAGATGCCAAGGCCAGAAAGGGCGGGCTTGGGAGAAGGGTGTGACTCGGGGCTCCCCACTGGGCAAGAAAACCTCTCAAGTTCATGAGCAGCCAGCTGGATCCCTGCCTGAGAAAAGGGACCCTAGGTCAAAACACGAGCACTCCTGGAGCTCCTGGTGTTTGCTGTCACTGGGCAGGCACTGGCATGTTTTCTCATTACTACTAGCACTACCACTCTTGGTGCCCACTCTGCAGATGAGGACACAGGCTTAGAAGGCTAGCACAGGACTAGGAGGGAACAGGGCCGCGGTTTGTTTAAACTGGGTTGCTTTGCTGCTGCAAGTCCAAGGTTTTTACTGTGAGCCTCGGGCCTCTCAGGAGGCTGACTTGGACAGAAGTGGTCCAGCTAAAACCATCCTTCTCCCCTCCCATTCCCGTGAAAAGGGGCCTCTCTGAGCCTTTACTCTCCTGTCTATAAAATGGGTGCTAGCATTGCCTTCCCTGATGCTGTAGTGTTAACAACAGATGATACAGATAAGTACATCAGTGTGATGCCCAGTTCACATACCTGAGAGCTTCCTCTCACCTCTGCTGACATCTGTCCTTGTGTGGGCACAGCCTTCAGTGCACAGATGAGGACCTCACCTCTACCAGGATGATGCAGAGGTGTATGCCACACATCCCTGGAACACGTCTGAATGCTGATGGGAGATTTAGTCCCACCAGGGATGAGAACGCCGACAGCTCACTGCTCACTCCACCCTCATATTTGAGAGATCTGCAAAGGCTCTGCCTCAAGCCTCTGAGGACAATGAATGACGTGGAATAATGAAGCATCCAAGGCCTTGACCGGGAGTTAACTGGGGCCCGTGCTACTTTACATGTTTACACCCAGATTCATGCAGCAGAGGCACCTGGGCTCCCTCTTTTCTGTAGAGAGGAAGCACTTAAGTTAGGATGGCTTTCAGAGTAAACTCTGTATGACCGCCTCGTGCACAGCTCCAGAGGGTGTCATGTACAGTGCAGTCTCCTGACTGGCACCATTTGCACAGAAGACAATGAGATTGGCGCCACCTCTCCCCCTGGAGCTGGGCAAGGGGTGATCCTGGGTCTCCGGCCTATTTACAAAAGAATCCATCACGGGGTGGGGGGGGGCTTTTTCAAATGCAGATCCAGGCTCCTGAGTCCCTATTATACCAGAGTAGGAGTACCCATACCTCTGCACCTTATAGAGCCCCTAATGATCCTCCACTCAGCACCCAGGGGCCCCTTTTTAATTCTAAGTCACTCATCTGTTCCAAGTCAGCAGTGACTATCTATTTCCTTCAATGTAAAATCCAAGGCCAAGCTGGATGTGGCAACTCACACCTGTAATCTCAGCACTTTGGGAGGTCAAGATGAGAGACTGCCTGAATCTGTGGATTCGAGACCAGCCTGGGCAACTTGGCGAGACCTCGTCTCTACCATAAATCAAAAAATTAGCCAGGTGTGGTGCACGCCTGTGGTTCCAGCTACTTGGAAGGCTGGGACAGAAGATCACCTGAGCCCAGCAGGTCGAGGCTGCAGTGGCTGTGAGCATGCAACTGCACTCCAGCCTGGGCATCAGAGCGAGACTTTGACTCAAAAAATATATAAATAAAAGCCAAGGCCTTACCATGGTCTTCAAGGCCTGGTGTTATCCATCCTCTGTTCCTTCTCTGGTCTCTTTCCGTACTCCAGACAAACTGGCTTCTAGCTGTTCCTCCAACACCCCAAGTGTGCTCATTCCTTTGAATTTGTGCCCTATACATACATACACACACACTCTCTCTCTCTCTCTCTCTCTCTCTCTCTCTCTCACACACACACACACACACACACACACACACACACACACACCCGCAGATATTTCCATGACCAGCTCCCTTATTTCCTTCAAGTCTTCACTCAGATCAAGACTCATATTAACACCCTACTGCAGCCTGTTCCATT